AGTTCCTACTTGGGAGAATAAACTGGGGAGCAGGGAAAAGGGAAAAAGAGTGACTTCATTGTATAGAGCAAATACACTTCAAAATCACTTTCCTTTCTACAGGTTTTACTTTAAAAACACCATTACATTCAGTGGTAAAACCCCACAAACTTCAGTAGCTTCCCTAACAGCAAAATAACATTGTATTAGTCTAATAAATAATGTATATCCTGCATAATTTTCTGGAGTTTTCTGTTTTGTCTTTTGGGATTTTTTGAGCTTCTAATTAATTTTTTGTTTTAAAACAAAAGGTAGAAAGCTTTTGTATCAAAATATTTTTCATAGTAATCTGCTTCTCCTTACTTTACCAAGCACTGTCCTAACACTGAAAGTCTTTCCAGTTTCAGTTCAGATATCTTAACCTCAGTCCATTTGCTATTTTTGATATAACCTTCTATACTGCTTAGGCAATTTAGCTGATAGGAATAGATACACAAGCTATTTTTTGCCCTTCCAATAAATTTAGTGGGTTTTGGATTATGCCCTGTTCAGATAATTTAAGCAGCAATATTATAGTTTAGCAGTGGCTGCTAACTTTAACCTTCGTCCTACAAATGTTAAACCATGCTTCATTTTAAGTCTAGCCTTTTGTGCTGATATTTAAATATTTTCATAGGAACACAGTTTTAAGAGTACTTGCCAGAGGTGTTAGTTTGGTTGCTAAGCTTGCTTTCCTTTTACTCATGTGGGCAAAAAGATATATTTAGGGCTCTTTTTTTGGTTAAAAAAGTGCTAATGGGGGAGGTATTACATTCCTTCAAGATGAATACAGTACTTCTAATTTTTGGCACAAAACGTTCATCTCCTAGCGTTATGACACTTATCAGGCCTTGAGATCTTCCATGGCCAGGACTGACATAATATGTCAAACATTTACAAAACTGCATTTTCCGAGTGCTTTTAGAATGAATGATGTAGCACCATTCATGCAGTAACAGCAGATACCATGAAGTATCCTACACAGACAGATTCTCCAAAATGTGGCAGCTATTGGAAAATTCTTATTATACTTAAATTCTTTAAATGAGCTTTCAGTAAAGTTTCATCTTACTTTTGAAAGTTTCTACTGATTTTAGACTCATAAAGGAATAGCCCTAGTATCGCTGAAAAGTTCCTCTGTTCTTAGTCCGTCTTTTCTCAGTGAACTATTGTTCACTGAGAAAGAATATCTCTAATCTATTACATTTCCAATAGTTTGAGAAACAAAATACTGACCGCTGGTTGTTTTCACACATATTCACATTATATTAGCTACTGACCATCGTGCTGATATTGTCTCCTAATGCTCTCCTACGTGTATTCATCTGTATTTTTTTATCTTATACTGTCCTATGCCTGACATGCTTACCATTTGTCTTGCAGTTCTATTTCCAAAGCACACAACACAATAAGGTCCTGTCAGTGCTTGGAGATAAGTGCTATAGTAAGAGAAAGCAAGGATGAACTACAAAATGCTATTTCAGATGTTGTGATCTCCTCCTGTACAAGTGTTTTTTGTCAGTGAAATGATTTTATTGCATTTCTCCATATTTTAAAGAACCATTAGCTATTTTTAGAAAAAGTAAACTGCACAGTGCAAGATTATATACTTATTCACATTACACACATTAATTCTACTGCTAGTAACTGATTAGTGTTGTAGTAGCTTTATAACAGAGAATTGAATTCAAAGCTGGAACCATAAGCTATGCAATTTCATAGCAAAAGCTGTTCTCAGAAAACAGAGTCTGAGCATGTTTTGTAGAAGCTCTGAATTCATAGGCATTTTTATGAAATAAAACGTCAGTTCCACACTTTTAAAGGTTCCTCTGCTCTACAGTATAATATGTAGCAGTGCTTTTTGTGCATTAACAATAATAATGCTATGAAAATCTAGCTCAAAATGCTGACATGATGTAAATTAGCATACCTTTATTAAAGTTAATAAAGCCCCAAAGGCAACCTGGAGTCACTGAGCATCAAATCCTCTGTTTCTTTTTTTATAAAGTTTTCTTTGAAAGATATCAGGCATTTCAAACTATGAATGCCCTAAACATTTTGTTTCTTTTCCAAGTGTCTTGTCATAAACTGTACTTCATCACCAGCTGATCATCACCAAATGCACAACAAGCTGGTTGGCTTTCCAGACTCTGAAATCTCACATTGCATTGCCTTCAGTAAATAAATTCTATTTCTGTGTTAAGTGATATTTCTTTCTTTTTGTCTACTGACCGTCTTTTAAAATCACAGAACCATAGAAAAATAGGACTGGAAGGGACCTCAGGAGGTCACCTAGTCCATCCCCTGCCTAAGGCAAGATCAACTGTACCTATATTACTCCTGACAGATGTTTGTCTAACCTGTTCTTAAAAACATGATAAAATGATGGAGTCCCAAAGTCTCCTCAGACACGCTATTCCAGAGCTTCTCTGTCTTTACTATTAGAAAGTTTTCCACAGAGTCTAACCTGATTTTTTTTTCCTGAATTTAAGCCCATTACCTCTTATCCTATCCACAATGGACATTGAGAATAGGTTCTTCTTTTACCCTGTGGCAACCTCTTAGATGAAGACTGTTTTCTTTGTGGGTGAAGCAAGCCCATTCTTTCATGTTTCCATAGGTCATGTTTCCATAGGTCATATTTCCATAGGTCATGTTTCCAAGACTTATGATTACTACTGTTGTTGTTTTCTAGCTTCTCTCTGGTCAGTGTGAATCTTGCGCTGCAGTCTTCAGTTTTCTGAGACCACAGTGAGGCTGATTAGAGCAGAAAGATTAAGTTGCACAATGATGTTATTAAACTATATAAAAGATGCTGGAGCTCCTTGCGCTGCCACTGAGATGAGGTTAAAGGCAATCTGCACGTGCAAGAATAAATCCAGTAGCTGATATTGCTAATATAGTGTGATGGTGCTCTGCAGGCTGAAACTGGCAGCAAAATCTTCCAAGGAATTAGTGGTGAAAAAAATCATGTCCTCTGACAGGAAATAGATAACCCAGATAGATGTTTTGGAAAACCAAGGGGCTCTCCTTAGGACCTAATTGATTTCACACTTACTCAGAAGAATATTTCTGTATTTATGCTGGACCTAATGGAGAGTAAGAGCAAGCACTCTTTGCTATCCATGAGCAAATAAGCCATGTTTACTATGCAGTTCTAAGTTTTCTTGCTCGCTTAATTTTTTTAGCCTTAAACATACAAGATTTCTATATCTTATTCTTTCAGCTGAAATCTGTTGATCTTCAATACCTTTTTTTAGCAAATTCAAGTGAAAATATAAAGTGTTTTCAGTATGAACACATTTTTTGCATTGTCCATGAAAGACAGTTCTACACAGAACACAAAAGTTATTTTAAATGATTAACTTAAAAATGACAACAAAAGTAAAACAAAATCCAAAGCATGTTACTGCCTTTGGAAGCAGAAATTCCTGCAGAAAAACAGCTAATAACTTTATATAACTTTTTTGCTGTGCTGAAGCTCAAGATGGCCAGCTCTGTGGCTTCATATGACTTCCAGTGCACTTGGGCCTGAAATGTAAGTGAAGACCAGGCATTGCAGACAACAGCGCTAGAGGATGGCAATTGAAAGTTCAGAGCATGTGAACTCTGCTGAAAGGTAAATTGGTTTTCAGACTCTTTATATACATCTGAATTCTGCTAATTATTATTGATAATTATGTATTTTCTGATCCAAAGCATGGAAATAGTTTAGCTCTAAATAAATTGCTAGGAGTTATTTAGATTTTATCCACCTATACAGATGTTTTTAAGCAATACCAGGCACTGCTGCTTAATGTGTAATAACTGCTCAGTAATATCATCAGAACGCTAAACCTCTTTTATACTCAATAAACCTGAATGGAGGAATATGAATCCTTCCATTACATATGGCTGCAGCAGCGGCTGCTGGTGATGCAGGGCCAGGTCTTGCTGCCAGGGCCTGTCCTACCGCCCATGGTGAGCAGGGGGCACCCAGGGTAACCCCAGCCCTGGGCATCGGGTGCCTCTACAGGGCTGGGGCCGGGCTGGGCTCTGCTGGGTGGTAGGTAGCTCACGGGTTGAGTCAGGGCTCTGGGTACAGGCACAGGCATGGATAAGATGCAACTGCAGAGTAGGTGAGGCAGAGGTGAGAGCCTCAACTTTTTAAGTTCCCAAAGGGCAGAAGAGCAGACCCTCACCAAGGATTTTTCCAGCTCTTTTCTTCACAAGAACTCTTATCCGTTGGCGTTGAATGCTGTCAGCTAAATGCTTTGGAGGGAATTTGACAATGTAAAAGGAAAGTCCAAAATGTGGAGACTGAAGCAGGAACTCTGAGATCTCAATTCTGCACCTCGGAATATAGGGTCTGGAAGCAAGACTGGTATGTCCAGCTGATCTGTGACTAAACCAGTTCATCAGCCATTTCCCCACACAAGCATGCAGTGCACAAATTTGAACAAGTGGCAGGAGCTTCGTCGCAAGGGACCTTCCTCAGTGCTACACTGCACAGAGGGAAGAATTCCTCCCTGACTACTTCACGTATATGGATCTCATGTATAACCTGGCTGGTCTGGTTGTGGGTCCTAGGATTTGGCCGTCAAAGGGTGCAAGAAAGCATGAATGCCAAACTGACTTTTTCAGAAACTAGCTCTTCAGAATTATGCAAAAAGGGTGCATAGTTTGTGGGAGTGCTTGCTTGAAAAATATCAACATACTGTACTCCACACTTTTCAACCTGTTCAGGTGAAAATGCAGACCTAGTGCCATTTGCAAGTAGGTCAAACAGCTGTAAAAAATCCCAGAGTTTAATACTATACAAGTGAAAGGATAGTTTATGTTAAGCCTTCATACAAATGGAAGACATACGAGGCAAATTCCTGACCCTGTTGAGGTCTACAGCAAATCTTCCAAGGTGCCAGAATTACTCGCTGATTTTTTTTATCTATTAGGAGCTTGAACTGCCAGACCAGTCATCTTGGAACATAAAGGTGAAACCACAGTCAAGATCACATGGATAAGTAATATGTCCCTTTCATATAAAGAATTCAGAGAACATCTGACTGAATGACAAGCCATTTTTCAGAAAACTGTATTCTGCCCTTTTAAGTACATCTATTTATCATATTTTTCTTAGTATACATTTCTTACTAGTAGAACATGCTATTCTTAAGTTACATTACCACTGTTTATCTATCCCTGGTCCCTCCTCTCCTAAAATCTTCTAGTGCTGAAGAGACAGCAAGTGTTTGGTGTTTGCATAACAGAAGCTGAGGCATTCATTGAGATGTACTCTGCATGTACATTCTTTTTGTTACTGAATGTGATAATAGAAGTAGAGTGTGTTAAGGAGCCAATTCTTTCATACAAGACAGCCTGTCATACAGACTGTCCCTCTTCAGTGGATTACATTACAACTAATCAAGTGTTTAAGCTCCTTTTAATGCTTTGCTTTCTGCCCACAGGTAATCTTGTGCAAGTAGCAATGAGACTGCATTGCATGATATGAAAGCATTCTTACAAATACTTCTCAGGGACAGAGTTCATTACACATCACTGTGACTCTCAGAACAAATTATACATGTTTTATGTAGTCCAAGTTGCTATGGTAAATATTTTCTTCTTTAATAGTTAATAAAATGACATAGACAGAAGAACATATGTAAAACTTGTTTTGAAGGAAAACAACACTATCTTAAGCATAATGAACTGCGGCATCATTTCAAAGTTTTTTAGTAAATAAACCACAATAATTCCTTCCATTAAACCAAAACAAAAACAAAACAAAAAACAAAAGATTTGAGAGAATTTCTCAAATATGAAAATTCTTCAAGTGCAATACAATTGAAATGACCAAAAGGTGTTATGTTAGGAGCACAGAAGAAATGTATCATATATCATACAAGCGCTAGCTTGACTCAGCTGACACAGAGGCCAGAAGTTCACTGTTCACCCTTTGAAATGAAAAATTACAAATAGGATCATGGGATTCCATACTTTTCCTTCCAATATTCACACTTACCATTCTTACAGAAGACATTCACAGTCAGGCTAGGGACTCAGCTTAGAATCTTAAAGTCCACTTGTTTTATTCCTTGTACATGTATTGCTACTGGCAGTAATGATTCTGTTTCTGCCTCTGCGTTGCTACAGCTCCTGAAAGTAGTGTTTGCAACTTAACACAAGTACAATCTCAGAGAATTGGTTATTAATCTTACAGTTCAGCCTGAACAAGCAGCAGCTCTTGAAGAAACAACACTAATGCTTTGCTTCAGAGAAGAATTACTCTGTTTCAGCCCACTCTGATGTTGGCTCTTTCTCAGCCCAAAGTTTTAAAGGATTGACTGACACACCGGGAGGTAGAACCTTTTTTCGCTGTCTGTTCCATGAAGGCTAAAAGATAAATGCTGCCTACCTGATTCACTTCCAGCAAAGCAAGCAGCCTAGGTAGGCGTAAAAAAAAACTGTTCTATGCCCACCCTTCCTCCTGCTTAGCTGTAGAACGGGGATGCACCTCTACAATTTCAGTGAAGGCAATGGCTTTGGAGATGTGACTCAGGTGGAGGGAAACCTTGCTATCTGAGTATACTAATTACAGTAGAAGATTCTTGCCAGCACAATAACCCTTGCTCAGGGATGCAACAGGAGGCATCTTTCGAATAAAAGTATGTTTTCAGAGCATTGCATCTAAGTGTTTCAGGAAAGAGCATAAGCTATTTAGCGTTTCATACTAATATTAGCCAATATTTCCAGCTTCTGGTACAGGCAAGTACAGTACACTTCAGGGGTAGTTCAAATCACTTGCTTTACATCTATTGGTTCTTCTGGCTTTGAATAAAATGTAGAACAAAGGTCCTGACTGTGAGTGGTTTCTAACAGTCTGTAACTTATATATTTCTGGATATTTTTCAAGTATTTATTATGTTACCTACATGAGATTCTAATTTGTATATTTTTATTGTGAATCCACTTAAAGCTTCTTCGGTAATTTTGTATGACTAATACTCCTTATTTCCTGTTGTAAACTGTTGTGGAGTGATCTTTTATACTGCTGGTAGTCACAGGTTTTCACCCATGAAAGTAGCTGGACTTCAACAAAGCATATCGCTATACCTATAGAGCTTGCAAAAACGGTGCCTTGTTTTGTATTTATGTCCTTTTGGCTGGAAAATGTAAATTCACTATCCTCATTACCATTGTATTCAAGTTTATGTTAATGAGGTGTTAATGTCTCTAGTTGGTAAGAATGATCCAGAGAGTGAATTTTCATGTATACGTTGGAAACAAGGGAAAGCTTTTGCGCTAATTATTATTACATTGTAAGATCTGAAAACATTCTTTAGTTCGTCATCCCCAAATAAGACATTTTTCAGCTTAACCGGTTTATTTTCACTGCATTCCTTAAATTTGAAAAAGGAGGGGCTATCAACCAATCTAGAGAATATCACAAATTGTTGCAGTCACTTAAGTCTTTCACAGTAAACTGAAAGTCTAAACAATAAAAACAGATAAATAGAGGAAATGTCAAACTGAATTCTGGGTAATGATCAGATCAGCATGCTTTTATACAATTTCCATCACTTTGAATTTTAAATCACCTTTTAAAGGGCACTAAAGCATTCTTGCAAATTAGTCTGCACTCCAATTAATGCACCCAACATGACAATACGACCAGTTTCAGCTTGGCTAAGCAGACCAGTCAACCAGGAGGATGTGACTTGAGGACTTGGAGAGCCTGTGCCTCCACCTTTTTTTCTTCTCTCTTCACAGCAGCTTACATCCAATTAGGCCAGTTAATCTGCCTAAAACCAGTGGAAAAGAAGGATTTCTCTAATAACGATGAAGCATAGTTTGGAAGAACATGCAGAATAAGGCTACTCTTTACAAAAGACAAAAAGTTCCAAGATTTCCCTCAGTCATGTATCTTAAAGAGGTATTTCTCTTGGTCAAGACCAACCTATTTTTCTCCCCAGGGATTTTAACTTTAACAGACCTTTTTGTGACATTTGTTAGCATGTAAAGGATTTCTCTTTTGTCTATTTATTTTCCATACTGTGCTCATTTCTGACATCCATTAAATTTTATAAGAGTAGACTGCAAGCAGTAGTGATGAGAAGTGCCAGGTCCCATTACAAGAAAACGTTCATAAATAGAAATGACTTTGTGTTTTTCAATCAAGAAGTAAATAATACTCACATGAATATATAGGTGTTTGAGCAGCCTAATCTGCAGTTTTGGAAAGGAAAATTGAAGGGGGCTGAAAAATAAATTACAAATATATGCTCATATGTGAAACACATTTTAACAGCTTAATACCGAAAATTCTTGCAGAATGGATAAACCATTTTACAGAGTATTTAGTTCACTCACTTCAGAAAAAAGAAACACTAAACCATCTCTGTTCTCTTTATCATTATCACTGGTGCAGGGGAACTACATGGTATACTTATACCCACAGCACAATATTAAGACTTTCTCATTTCTACTGTGGTTCACCTACGGTATTTGATTCAGTTTTCTATGTAAGCTTCTAAGATGTTGTATTTCAACAAAGTCAAATGAGAAGCATTCAATCAGATGCAAAAAAAAAAGTATATGATATGTTTTGGAGTTGCTTCTATTTATCCTCACAGAACTCACAATGTTCCTTGACTGCTGCTTTTTTTTTTTCATCTTGAACTAAGATTTTGGGGAGGGCTTCAGTGCCTGTTGCTCATCAAGGGCACCTAATGCAGTGGCAGCCCAAGATATTAGTTTGTGTTCCTGTGGCAAAATGTTGGACTGTTCAGAACTGATTGGCATACCTAGGTAGCAGTACTACAAAATAAAAATAATACAACAGGCCTGAAACGTTTTTTTAGAATAAAAAAAAAATGTGTTATAAAAGTTTAATGATGCTGAACAGAACTCAATGTAAACACATAGAATTTTATAAGTCAGAATTAATACCCCCTTATTCTTACATAGCAATTCTTATTCAACTTTTCTCAATACGGGTGAAAGTCTTTTAGAAAGGTCTGTCTCTCTATAGCCGTTCGTTAGGCAATTTCCCCCCCTTCTTTTTTCATCAAATCAATTATTTAAAAAGTCAGAATGATTCACCTAAACCTTACAATTTTGACCTTGTTCTATTAAACTATCATATTCTTCAAAATACTATCTTTTGGAGCAAGCAAGATAATATAGTAAAAGCATAATGTTTCAACTTCACAGAAATGAAATGTTTCAACAATTTCCCACCGAAAAGTTTAAAAGAATCTAAAGGATTCTGCAAAACATTGTCATTTTGTACAAAACTCTTCCACTGGAAATTATTCACACAGCTCTAGCAAAGCCTTGATTTGTGCACGTAGTTCAAATGCATAGAGCTGGAAGTTTATAACAGTTTGAGCACCAACAAGTCAGTAGCAATGCTTACTCAACGGTACTATTCTTCTTGACAAGCCTAGCTAAGCTGAGTTCCGGGAAACCTATATTTAACCAGTAGTAAAAGAAAGAAGAAATTGTCAGCGCTTAATTTTTTGCAGTGCTGTCAAATTAAAATATTTTCAAGAAAAAAGTAAGTACTAATTCTCTCTGTTCTCTAAGAGAAAAAGTTAGATATTTCCCCCTTCCACAGGTGGACAAGCTACAGTATGGAGAGTTAAGTGCCTTGTATAGGGCTATATAACTTGGCATGAACCAGCTAGAATCAGATTTTTCCTACCTTAGGAACAAAACCTTGTGTTGCTTCTTTCACAAGCCATTGCTGTTAAGAAATTTCAAATAATTTTTTCTTGGAGTCTTTGGCTTTGACTTAATTTGTTGAGAAACCTGCAAAGATTTATTCTTTTTCGGCCTCAATGTTCTAAGAAAAACACTGTGTTCATAATGAAACTGAAGATTTTACTGCTCTTTTGTCCAAGTGAGAACCCATCAAAGGAATGAGATTTGTAATGGGCTATTTATTTAGACATCATATATAGCATGTGTTCTGTTGATATTCCACCCCACCTCTCTGAAGAAGCAGACAGCTATAAGGCTACAAGTTGGGCACCACTTGATTTTGCCTTTCCAGTAGATATCTAAGAGGCAAACCTTCTCCATCTCTTCAAATAAAGTATCTTCCTCAACAAAAATGGAATTATCAAGGATTTCCAGTTCCAGACTCTGCCATGCTTTCTAGACATGAGACAATTCTGAGCGCTTTAACAGATAAACCACTTGGTGGATCAGCTAGACAACTACCAATTTCACCACAGTTCAGCTTGATCTGCCCCCCAGCTCCCTGCCTAAGCTTTCTACTTCTTTGAGTCATGTTGAAAAGCCAGTTTCTCTAGCTATTGTTTGGAACTAGTTGTCTACTCAGCTGCCCCAAAATAGTGTTTTCGCATATTGATCTAAGTTTAATCTAAATACTTTAACTGAAGGAAGAGACCAATAGCATTGCTGAGCTATTTTTCATCAGCCCAGCTGCACCTTGGCAACAAGTTTCTTACGTCATTTGACTTAGCTGATAAGAGAAGTTAGCGAAGTGTTGCCGATTTATATAACGCTTTACAGCTGCAGAGCCTATATTCTAAAAAAAATTAAGACAATCCAGACCCTATAAAAATCCACATACCTCCA